TGCTAGAAGTAGGCCTCATCCTCCCTGACTGAATCATTATCTCTAGCCTTACTCTTGATTGGTGTACTCTTTTCTTATGCCTGTATATTTATACGTGCCTCTGGAATTTCCACTACATGCATCTGATGAAGTGGGTCTTTGCCCACGAAAGCGTATGTTCCAATAAATCTGGTAGTCTATAAGGTACCACAGGACTCCTTGTCGCTTTTGCAAATAAATAAATGTTTCTCTGTGGAATTGTGGTAGTACACGAACATCTGAAAATTAAATTGGCTTGAAACTGACTGGCCTAAGTTCCAAGTTCAATAATAAACTAGATTTTAAAATTCAGTTTAAAAAAATCTAAAGTGGTATTAGTATCATAGTAAGGATTTTTTAAAGGCTTTTCTCTTGCACAATTAGCTGTAGATGTGGAAAACTGCTTTTTCCAGAAATGATGTTTTTCTAGTCTAGTTCTGTTTTGTACAGTTGTAGTTTTACTCTAGTTTTAGCATTAGCATTGCTGATTAGCGACTGTTTTCATAACATGGTTTTAAACTTTTTTCTGTATTTAGTACAGTTTTTCTCTCCGTGTGCACAGTGACATGGCACAGGAATTATGACAAACCTGAAAGCCATGCTTATTTTTTTTGTGGATCAAGCAAGGGTTATTTGTGTACCCAGTTGTCCTTGTGTCAGTTTCTTCATGCATAAGGCTCACAAAGAACAAAGTCTAGGTCATCTTTCTGCTAAATCCTCTGGAGGTAGAATGAAAGAGTCAATGCAGGAAATAGCACCGTTCTCTGTATTTGCTGCAAGGGATCTGCCTAGGACAGTTCCTTCCATAGTTTCAGCATTTAAGCTGTATTATGCTACCTCCATTTCAGTTAGCTGGGACTCCTGAAATAGTTGCTACCAATATTGAAAGCTTTTCAGTGGAGCTCTAGTTCTTTTAAGTAGGGTGCTGCATCCCCATCAGAAATAGTGGTGCACGCAAGACAAGGTTTCTTGTAGACCTGAATTTCACACTTCTCTGCCCTCAAGAATAAAGAGAAGAATTGCCAGTTCGTCAAGGTATTTTCTGTGCCAATGACCCATTCTTTCAAAAAAGCAGTCATGGAAGCATAGATCCCTGGAAGTGTAGGGGGAGAGCAGAGATGTCAGTTCTATCTTCACAAATATTAAAAAAAAAAACCTCAGCTTAAAAGATCTCTGTCATGCCCTCTAGTTTCTAGCTGTTTAGCAGAGGACAAGGAAAAAGTAAAACAGTGTCTTACAGACATTTTACCCAAGATGATTTTCAGCCAAAATGTTCAAAAATAGGAGCATAACCGTAGTCACCTAAATCCACTTTTTACCACCTGTGTTATAGGTGTCCTGCTATTTCAAAATTGCTTTGTGCTCAATTGATCCCCACTACAGTCAGCTTTTGTAAATCAGGAGATAACTTTAGATTCTTATTTTTGAAAAATGTGGCCTAGTTTTCTGATTAGACTTGCATCTAATGTCTTCTCTCCCAAATATTGAGGAAAAGTTGAGGACTTGTTAAAAAATATATTTACCAACAAAATTAAGGCCTGCCGTCTTAACTCTTTCAGAAAAAGTGATGAAAGTGATATAGGAGGAATCAGAGTGAAAATAATCATGGCCCAAATTTTTGGTAAAAGCTACAAAAAGATTGTGTTGCTCTCTAGTCTTGTGCCTCTTCTCCACTTCATTTTATATACTTTAGAAATATGCATCTGTCTGTCTCTGTTTGCTTGCCTGTCTGTCCGTCTGAGTGTCCATTTGTTCAAGAATTCCTCCTAAATGGGTAAGAGCTAGAACCACCAAATTTGGTATGCAGCTTCCTCTTATTATAAGTTTGAAGCCAGAAGAAGCTATGGTTTTCAGCACCTTTTGGTCCATGGCCTTGATCACAGCAGCCATTAACTCTGTTAACATGTTTTTTCATGGATTCTCAAGTTTTTCCAGATTCCTTTTGCTCCTCCATAAAGAAAAAAATTGCCCAGCTTTCTGTCAAAACTTCTTGACAGTTGAAAGAGATGTATTTGTTTCAGCTTCAAAAGCTGAGGCAATCAAGCTCTAACTGGTACAAACTCCAAGCTCCTTGGACACTTTGCTCTTTTGTTTGACAGCCAGCTTTCTGTAGGGTATGTCCATACTGCAAACAAAAACATCCTACCCCTAATCACACAGATCCCTCGTGTTTTTAACTTGTGTTAATTAATCATGTTAGCAAACTTGAGTTAAGACCAATAGTGAAGATGCAGCTGCTCAACTTTGAACTGAAGTTAGCAGCTCAAGTTCAAACTGAGGCTGCCCTATAGACTTGAACTCAAGCTGCTAACTTGAGTTCAAAGACAAGTTTCTGTATCTTCGTTGTTGTTGTTTTAATCTGAGTTAGGGTTATATAGCATGTATAAAGTGTTGTATAACATGAATTAAGAACATATCTTTTGTTGCTGTGAACACATGCCTTCAGAAGGTACACTTCTGAGGAGGAGAATTAAGTGATGGTGTACTCAGTCGGAAGTGTGGCATCAGACTCTGTCTTCATAGTCTGTTCCCACACTATCGCCTCTCAATTGTATGAAACTGATTGTTCCTAAGTCGAGCACTTTGCATTTGTCTTTATTAAACTTCATCCTGTTTATCTCCGACCATTTCTCCAATTTGGCCATATCATTTTAAATTATGACTGATCATTATTAGGCTGATGATTTTTCATTTTCTTTTCATTTCAAATTGTTTAATTTTGTTCTGTGTTTGTACAGACCTTAGAGCAATGGGGGAGTCTATGACACAGGCTCCTAGGCACCACAGTAATAAAAATAATTAATACACTATTGCAGGACTGCATTAGGAAGGTCTTTGAGCTCTGAGGTTTGAAGGATCAGAACAGAAACTAGTCTGTATAGTTTCACTGTTCCTCAGGAGAAATAACCAAGATATCGTGGAAGCAGCCTATGTATCACCAAATGAAATTTGCTTTTTGCCATGACAGAACAAAATACATATGTGTAAAGCTACCTTAGAAATGTGTAGAAAAGTATGGGCACCTAATGTGCAATTCTGCAGTACTGTCTTGTTCAAAGAAAACTCATTTGCCCATGGTGGGGTGTTCTTTTTTTTTTAATCAAAGACGCCTTAGATAGAAAGACTGAGAGGGTGACTGGAAAGCTTTTTTTTCCACTTAAGTGCTATTTAGTTGTTAACTACTGTTAATTCTGTGTGTTTTGATCTGCCATATGCCAGTTGTCTGAAATGTAGTGAGATGGTTTTGTGCCACACCTTTCATAAAAGGTAAGAAAGCTTTGTCAACCTTTGATGACAGTAACTTGCGCGTTATTTTGAATTTCATGAATCTGGAAGCCAGTGCTGCCAACATATCCTTTGTAACTGGACCAGTATGTAGGTTGTTGCATGGTAGGAAAAGCATTCCTCTCAACTTTAATGGTGACTTTTCTCTTGAAGTTGGTCGAGCTGCAAGGAGGCTGTCATCAAAGGAAGGTTAAAAAAAGAGATTAGTCAAAGGAATGTTTCAGAGGGGTTTTGTTTAGATGGAAGATTTGCAGACTTGAAAATTCCCAACTTCATAGCAAGAACTGATGCCTGATAATTGGCACAAATACTCAGTTGCAAACAAGGAAGAAAGAGTAAGATGGGGAGGCAGGGTTGGGTGACTGGGTGACTTCTCAGTTCATATTTAAAATATCAATGCTGGATGTAGTGAGATAAAGGAAATTGTTAGACCAGGAAGTGATGTGCTTTTGCTAAGCAGAAAATTGAGCTGAGATGTTTTTAAAAGGTCACTTTGGATAAAATTGTTTTGGTTTTGTTTGCCAAATAGTAGTACTTTCTTTTAAGTTGGTCTAAACACAGTTGTGTATATAACTGTTAAATATAACTTCTCTGTACTTAAACACGAGTTTTCACAATTTGAACTGGCTTCATAAGCTTTGAAAAGCCGAGGTGGTGTTTAAAGGGGCAGCGCCACACATCTGAGCCGGGGATCAGCTGTTCGGCACTGCGCATGTAGAGACTGGGATCAGCTGGGGACTCCCTAGCTGACCACAGGTTCTGCGCACCATTTCCTCAGAGTTCATGGTGAGCTGGGGATTCCCCAGCTGAGCCTGGGCTCCACATGCATAGCACTGTACAGCTGAGCCCAGGGTCAGCTGTGTGGCATTGCTGCTTTCTAATACCCCTTCTCCCCCGCCCCGCTTTGCTGTCGCTATGTGATAGAGGCACCGGGGGGCGGGGAGGGGAAATCGACTAGTCTTTAACATCTCTAGTATGCATCATTGCATTTGTTTTAGAATTACATGAAATATTTGTGCATTCTTTCCATTGTTCAAAAACTTAATTGATTTTCTTTTCTTTTTTTCTACTTGAACCCTATGAGTTTTCTTTCTGTGCTTAACTATAAGGTGTTAATTTATTTGAAGTCCTTCTTTTTTCTGTCATTTGAAAGTCCAGTGTTTCTTTGTAGAAATTATAGTATTGGAAGACCTAATAATGAAGCAGGATAGTGTTGCAGTTTAGTGAGAAATACAGATTTGTGGTACAATAACGATAGCTAGAAGTGAAAGTTCATACAAGTGAAAAAGGATAGAAGACAAAAAAAAGTATAATTTGTATAATAGCCATGCTTATGTTTCCATTTAAGTACTAAATTTTCTGCAGAATGTCTAATCTGATTTATTGATGAATCAATGACTTAACCTTTTGTGATGTGTGAAAGGGCATTGTACAAATTAGTGAGCATTATTATTTGGAAGAGCTGATGATATTTCACATTATTTTGTAGTAAACACAGGTGATTTACTGTGAAAACTTAAAAGGTTTTCTTTTCCTAGTTGATGAAACAGTGTTTATAT